TTAAAGGGGCCGCAGCATCGCCGCTGCCGCCAGCACCACAAGGAGGCGGGGCGGGGATCAGCGCTCGGCTCCAAACAGTGGCCCCCGTGTGCGCTCCCGCGTCTCCGGCTGAGGGACGCTCTGGGTCTGGCCTCAGGTAGGTTGAGGCCGGGGCCTTCGCGCGTGTGGGTCGGCTGCGGTGCAAGTGGCGTTCCCTGGCACTCCAACTCCTCAGTGATATGATTATGAATCACCCCCCCCCCCAGATTCGGACCCTACTCCTGTTTACTCGGAGACCCCAGGCTCCTCCCTCACTTTTGAGAGATTCTAGGCAGTGGGAGGGGGAAAGTATGGCTGGAGCGGGCGCTGCCTCCAGCCAGGAGACTCGGTGGAGTGGTCCTGCAGAGACTCCCCCGGCCACTTCCCCTCCCAGGACCTTTCTCTAGTCGGAAAGATAAAGGCGTCCTGTGGGAGGAAGGCGCTCTTGCTCCTAAAGTAGGGACAGCGGGCTGTTTTCAGCAGTGAAGGACCCATGTGTGTGGGTATTGAACACAGTGACTAGTCTAGAGCTGGACTGGCCTCCCAGGTGCTAGGCGTGGGTGGGCGGGAGGCGGGTGCAACCGCAAGGTGGTACTGGCCGCAGCCCCTAACGCTCCAGCGCTGCCTCTCCCTTCACTGCAGGGCGCTTACACCTTCATTTTTGTACCAGTTGCAGGCTTTCCGCAGTCCTCTGTGGAACCAGGAAGAAGACCAACCATAAAAGGATCCGTCCAACACAGGCTCTGTTTGGGCAGGCACTAGGGGTCTCAGCACCATTCCTCATGGTCCTGATTCCCAGCATTGGCTGCAAGTATCCTGGGTGTCTTGGTGGGAAAGGCCTTTTTGGGGTGAGTTCAGACTGAGAAACGCTGGGAATTTGTCGTCCCCTTTCAGCCCAGGCCCACACCTAAGGCAGGATGGTAGCTGGGAGCACCATAGGGCCTGGGCAGTGGCCTCTGCAGAGATAATTCTGCCTGGAGCAGGAGAGGCAGGGCCAGTGGCTGCAGCAGGACATTAAGTGACTGGCCTCAGTTTTCCTGCAGGCCTGATTCTGGCCTAACATAGCAGTACTGTTCTCTCAACTCGCTGATGAACTTTATGAACTGAGACCCGCCTTGTCAGAGCCTTCTGGAGGAAGCTGTCTAGTGTTCCTTTGTTTTTACAGGCGTCTTCTATTTGTGGCAAGGGATAATGGTTTTTCATTTGGGATGTGATACAGATGGTTAAAAAACTTTTCAAAATGTGGATTTACGTTTAGAAATAAGTTAATTTAAGGAAAATTATTAAACCAGTAAAAATTAAGGAGATGGCCTATCAGTGACTAAAGTGTGGGAAACTCACTTGAGTCCCCTCCCCCTCCACATTCTGGCTTTGGGGCAGGAGGGGCTAAGGCAGGGTGGCTCAAAAGGGGTTAGAATTCTGCCCTACTGCCTGGAGAGTACAGGGCCTCTGTCAGAAATGGGATTGTCCAGGGCCGGGGTAGGGGAGAAGGGTGGTGATTGACTTTGGGAAGTGTGAGGTCTGGAGTGATGGAGAGTGGGAGAGGGGTCAAGGGGAGTAGGCTGGAGGGGGCCACACACTGAAACTGATGGCTGCAGTTGGGTAGCCGCAGGGTGCAGGCAGCAGAGATGGAAAGCAGTCTTTCCAGACCTCCCTCACCCCCAGCCAGGCTGCCTCCTTCCCACTGCCGCATCAGCATACCAGGAGGGGAGCCTTGGGGCCACACTTCCACTTAGGGGCACACACCTACCACTTAGCTGAGAAGGGGTCAGCACCAGGTCTGACTATCTTGCCAGGATTACGCACTGAGGACAAAAGGGGACATTCTGAAAGAAAGCTGGATGCTACAACTAGAAGGGGACTAGAGAGAGGGTGGTCAAGAACAGAAGCCTAAGGGGGCTATGTCCCCTGGAGCCTGCAGAAGTGACATCACAGTGAGGAAAGGCCCACTGCATGCATCTGTTGGGCCGTGCTGCCCCCACGCTTTAGCCTATCCCTCCCTTCAGCCTTTGCACTCCCACCTTCATCCTTTGAAACAGGGCAGCAGTTGCCTGGCTCTCAGCCAGCTTTCCACTGCTGTCCGTGCCCTCCTATAATAAATTCCTCAGGGCCTGCCTGCGACTCAGCTCCCTCTGGGCACTTCTAGGCAGGTGAGCTCTGCCTGTCACCCTGCCACCCAGAGTGGGGCAGTAAAAATTAAGGAAATGGCCTATCAGATGACCCATCCCAAGTTCTACTTCTTGTGCTGGGGACATTGACCCTGGCCCACACCCAGGAGGGAGGGTGGAGCTGAATGGGCACAGAAAGTCCTGCTTTCTCTCCAGATCCCAGGCTGTGGGCCTTCCTCCTTTGTTCTTGCTTCCCACAGAGTAAAAATGCCCTTCTGTGTCCAGATTCCATGCCGGCCCTCGGCCCACACTGAGTTTGGCAGATTTTCTGGGACAGCCCTTGGAGATGACCAGTCCTTCCATCCTTCTTCACGGGGCTTCTTTACCTGTGGTCCAAGCATCCAGAATTGGAGAGGCCCAGGAGCTGAGATGAGAAAAAAAAAAAAATCCATCTTTCTTTTCACTAACCTCTAACTGAAACTTGGTATTTCCTTGAGTTATGAATGAGGCAGCAAAGTCCAGCAGAATTGAGAGTACTTGTGGCTGTCACCCAGAAAACACAGGGTTTTCATATTCACTGCAGGTGCTGCAGATGCCTCAAAACAGCAATTACAAACCCACTATTACCTGGTGTTTCTGGTACTTATTAGCCCTGTATCTGTATCTTATATTTAATGAGTTAATTATCACAGATAGTTCTATATCACAAATTTGTGTTTTTATATTTTGGTATTTACAATATTAGTATTGCAGATGTCTCTGTCCCTAGAACGGGGAGAGAGCTCTAGAAGCTCTAGCATTGGCAAAGAAATAAATGCCCTGGCCTCTTAAGTGACACATGGCTCTTCTGTGTCAGGTCCCTGGCCAGAACTAATCAGTCTCACCTCAAGGGAGCAGATGAGTTAATATATACAAAATATTCAGAATGCTTCCCGCATAAGAGAAGCACCACATGAATGTTGTTATTATTGGGATGTACAATCAACAAGAACTGCTGGGGTTTGAGAGCATGGCGTGTTCCCAGCTGATCCCCATGTTTCTGGCTTGCACTGTGGTGACCATCACTGCCATTGGGAAGCCTGGGGAAGGAATGGGGTTTGGGGAAGTGATTCTGCACTCTTGGATACAACTAACCAAAACCAAAATCAACTGGTTTAAGCTGCCTCATGATCCAGCATCAGGCCTGTGGGGACCCAGCAGCTCAGATGCAGGGACAAGGCCTTGATCTCCCGCTCAGTGTGGGTGGGGTTCACAGGCACATTCCCACTCCCAGGTGGCCTCCGTGGGCATTTCGTACTCCATTTGCGTCCATCACTGACCCAAGGGCTACAAACCTGGGTCATGTGCCTACACCACCACCACCACCACCACCACCTCCACCAAAGATAGTAGTGGGATAGTGAATCCCCAAAGGAAAATTTGGGAATTGAGCCAGCGATGGGAATGAAGAAGGCAAATAAAATCTGAGAGGAGTGGGAAGGGCTTTAACCCCGCTCCTTCACCAGAACTCTTGTCTAGGGCAGGGTTCCCCAACCCTCAGAACAGGTCTCTGACCTGTTAGGAACCAGGCCGCACGGCAGGAGGCGAGCTGCAAGCCAGCCAAAACAGTTGGGGACCATTGGTCTAGGGGACCCGCACAGCCTGAGGGGCACAGTGGATTGGGTCCCTACAGCCCAGGAAAGGGCTGTGCCCTTCTCATTAGCTACCAGCTTCCCCCTCCGCCGACATGCTTTTAACCAGGTTGCAGTGGCGCCCATTCTGCCAACTTTTCCGCCTGAGCTAGGGCCCTCTCAGCTCACGGCCTGCCAGACAAACTCCTGGGCGCCAGGCAGAGCCGGGCGCCGGGGACCCAGCCTCAGTCGCCAGGGCCTCCGCGAGCCTTCTCTTCACCTGGTCACCTGTGCGGAGCCTGGGGGCGCCCCTGTCCCGCGGTCGGAAGGTTGGAACCAGGCAGACCCGCATGGCAGTCCCGCAGAGACTTGGTACGCGGCGGCGGGGCACCGGAGGCGGGTGTTTATCCAAGGAAGACTCTGCCCCATCTGGGTTACAGGATGCGGGACACGCGTTAGGTCCAACACGCTCAAGATCCCCAAGCCCCCACCCCTTTCCCACCCTTGCTAACACGCTACCTGAGCTTCGCACGTGACAGGCGCGGGGACACAGGCTGAGCAAAGGGGGTGCCCACCGCCCCCGGGCGTGCAGGGACGCAGAGGCGCCGAGCCCTGGCGGGGAGGCCGAGCCGGAGGGGGCAGCGCAGGCGCCGGGCGTGCGGAGCCAGGAGCAGTTGGCTGAGACTTTGGAGCAAAAGAGGCGTTGATCAAAGCCAGAGAACTTTTTCCGGAAAGTTTTCGACGGGAGGAGGGGAGCGGGGACAGGGCCCTGAGCCTGACCTGCAGCGACCGCCCTCTCCACGTGACCCCAAATTCCTGCCCCGCTCCAAAAGCCGGGGGTCCCGGCATCCTTTACTCTTGTCCTGGGACCGGCGCTCCTTGGCGACTGCCACGCTAACCTCTCTGACACCCTAGCCAGGCTGGGGCCCCCCTCACCCTTCTGCTCTCCCTCTGCCCCTCTGCCTGGAACGGCTGTCATCCAGTCTGCCCGGCCCACATGCCTGCGTCGGTCCCGGGGCCGCCCGGTCTCCTCACAGCCCGCTTCCCTCACACCCGCGACTCCTCCTTTTATTTTTCCAGAACCTTCGGCAGTCAGGCCGGCCCTCTGCTTTGGGGGCCCCAGCAGTGCCCGCCCAGGGTAGGTCTCGACCGAGAAAGGGGCGGCACCAGCGGATACTAGCGGTCCGAGCCTCCTGCCCGGGGGTCCCACTCAATGAACAGCTTTAGCGGACCTGCTGCGGGGCGGCCCGACCACTTCCGACCAACGAGTCGGACGCCTAGAGCGAAGTGCGTTCTCCCTCCCGCTGCGGGAAACCTGAGCTCCTGCCGGCTTCTCAGTGCGGCCAGGAACCCGCACAGCCCAAGGACGGGAGCCCAAGGACGCACGAGGGGAAAAGAGGCTGGCTGGACGACGCTGCTCTGGCGGGGTGGCGACGGTGTCAGGTGCAGCCACCCTCCAGGCAAGCCGCGGACCCCAGTGCCCCCGCCCCCTTGGCCTGAGCCTCCGCCGCTTCCGCCCCCGGCCGCACGGTTTTTCTAGGCCGGGGTATCAGCGAGAGAGGTCCTTAGCGCCGCCGGTCGGGTCTTGGGGGCATGGCCCTTCATTAGACAGCTGCCCTCCTCCCTTTCCCTTCAGTCGGCGCTGGTGAGAGCTGTCCCCACTGCCCCGTGCGTATGGTTTGTTGACCACCCAAGGGGTGAGCGCCCCTTCAGTGCTCCCAGGAAGGCGCAGGCATCCCACTCCCGTGTCTGGTGCCATCAGCCTAGCCTGGAATGGCTGCTCCCTCCCTCCAGCTGCCGTGGAAGAGACTCTGGTGTTCTCACGCCTCCGAAAACTTGACCCAACTCCCCATCAGGGTATCTTCGTGGCTTTATTTCATTTCCCGAATGACTCCAATCCCCTTCTTTAAGAACGTCCCCACAGCTGTTAGGCTTTGCAGGAAGGGCTAGAACAAGCTGATGTCCGGTGCCTGGGGATTCTCTCGAGGGATTGGTGAGGGAATCTCCACAACATTGAGGTTGCCATGCAACGCAGGGGCAAGAGGTCCAGGACCGGGAGGAGTCAGGAGAAAGTAACTAGGTGGGATGAGCCTGCAATTTTAGGAACTGAGCAGGGGGGTGTGTCTGTCTGGCATGATGGAGTAGAAGGAAGTGGCTGCACACCCACAACCCTGTTCGGCCATGTAGAAACACACTCATCCCTTGGGCCTAGTGCCGGGTCTGGAGGAGTTTGATCCCCTGTGATCCTTAATCTCAAAGGTGGCCCCAAGCCATAGCCTGAGTCCTGCAGTAGCCATGTCTCTGGCTGGCCCAGTACCCACCTCTAGGCTTGGGTTCACACCCCAAAGGAAATACATAAACTTCAGAAAACCATTGTCAAAGGATGGGATTGTTTTTAGAATAAGGAAGGGGGAATTGAAGAGGTGGTTACAATGCACCAGACAGCAATAAACCAAATCAAATGACCTCTTGCACCCCTGCTCCCAGAGTACCCCAGAAAATCTCCACTCAAATCTCTCACCTCCACTATTGGCTATAGTCTCATTCCTGACATTCCCCCCGCCCCTCCAAGCTGATACCCCAAAAGCAGCCAAACAATAACTAGTACCCTAGGGGGCAGCACCTGGGAGGGGGCACTCAAGCCATCCCACTCCAGCCCCATTCAAAGATGAGGAAACTGAAGCTGGTCATTTGCCCCAAGATGGCAGGGTAGTGGATAGTTGGTTTGATTCAGACACCAATTCCTCCCCGCCCAGAGTGTGCATGTCGTGCCCTGGAGGGTGGAGAGGGGCCATTGGGTACAGAAGATGTTGGGAGAGCTGCCTGCAGCCTGGAGAAGGGAAGGCCAGCAGATGTGAAAGGGGCCTCAGTGGGGACAGGGTCTAAATGTGTCTAGCCACCCTGCTGCCAGCTCCCTGCCACCCTGCCTGGCCTCTGAGGGCTCTTCTGGTTCCATGGTTTCTCAGAGGTCTACGCAGCTGCTCCCCACCCCTGCTGCCTGGTAAAATGTTATCAAGATTGGTAGCATTGGGCCGGGGAGTCCCCTGTTATGACAGCTGGTCATGGGATGCTGACTCATTGCTGTCCAGATCACCTGACCATGCAGAAGCTGGTGGAGAGGGCCCTGCCAGGGGGTTTCCCTGCCACAGCCTTGTTTACCTTCCTGGCCTTGGGGGAGGGCAGGGGTTGGGTCTCTGCTCTACAGCGGGAAGGCCTGGAAAGACCACAGTTGGGGCTCCCTAGAGGTGGGGGTGAGAGTTGGGGGGTCTCCGAGCCTGCTTCCCAGGAGCCTGTTTCTTGCCATCCCATTTCTCCAAGTTTTCCATCCCTCTTGGCAAACCCACCATGGTCCCAGATGGGGCCAAATGTTGAGAAAGCCAGGAAGTCAGGCCGGCGGCCTCAGTTTCCGCCACTTGTTTGGACAGGGACTGCGCCTTGAGACCTTCCTGAACTTCGGGTGCCCCAGAGCTAGAAGGCTTTCTTTGTGTACCGTCACACACTTACCCAGGGACACTGGAGCTCTGGGGGTGGGAAGCCCGGCTCTTGGCCCAATATGCTGAGTCACACCCTTGGGCACCTGTAGGCCATGCAGCCTCTGCCCAGGCTCCCATTTGCTGTCCTCTGACTATGTCTGCATAGTGATGGGCAGAGGGTCATTTTTCCAGGCTCACAGTGGAGGTGCAGGGTAGGCCCAACGGGACCATGCTCTATGGGGCTGCTTTGTGCAGGGGTACACAGCCTTGCCTGCTCCAGGGTCCTCTGGGAAGGACCAGCCACACCTGTGACAGGCCTCTGCTGTGCTCTTACAGGCAAATCATCTTCTCAGTTGACTAACCAAATCCACCCAAGCTCCTGGGAGGTGTC